GAGCCCAGCCCACTGTTTAGGTCAGTGGGTCAGGCGTATACCTGACAGATACAAAGGTGCGTGATCATATACCTGACAGAAACAAAGGTGCGTGATCATATACCTGACAGATACAAAGGTGCGTGATCATATACCTGACAGAAACAAAGGTGCATGATCATATACCTGACAGATACATAATGTAAAAACTGCTTCTGGGGCCTTACAGTCCTAACAAACCACAATGATGGAATAGAAAACATTATTCACCATACCTTCTTTCTTCAGAAAAGAGGCTAAATTCCTTCATTTCAAACAGAGTGAATAGTGTAGCTGTTCTTCCAAGAGGAATTACCAGTACATGTTCGGTACATCATTTTCGGTTCCGTTATGCTACTTGTGGCTGTGGGTTTGTTACAGCTCATGTTGGTTACAATCAGTCATAATGGGCGGTCTGGGAATATTTTGGTTTCCTGATAAATTACACCAACAATGGAGGAGAGTAGTTTATAAAACCATACTGTCCATCGGTGTTACACCGAATTTGAATTTGTTTCTGAAAACACATCAAACGTGCTAACTCATTTCAGATGACATCTTCTGAGTGTGTGTATGACTAGAGCACAGCAGAAGCAGCCTCTGCAAGTTTTACAGCATTTATGCAAATTCAGTTACAGATAGACAACCATACTCTGTAGTAGAGAGTATGGGATTTAGTTCATGATGATTTTTATGATGTTATATTTTCAATTTTTAAATTTTATGTATTTTTTACCATGTGCAAGTAAGTGTGTCTTGTCATTCAGACATGTCGACAAATGCAATGCCTTTGGTTTACAACTTCTCCTAATTGTATTTGAGGTTTTAATAATAAATAATCTCAGAACAAATCCTATTTTCCCTGCTACACCAAATTTGCACCAAACTGTGAGCCAAAACTGAAGTGTGTACTTAACTGTGAATTTTGTGTACCTTTACATCCCAATACTAAACATGAAGAATTATAAAATTGGCTGCTTGGTTTACAAAGCTACTTCCTCTTCTCATTTTCGTTGAGCGGTAGAAGGACAGTGTTTTTGTTTCAGATCGATTAAAACACTGAGACACACATCACTGCAGCATTACTGCCTTGTACCCTGAAAACAGTATTGTCACGTAATTCAAACGCCATGACCTAACATGCGGGTATTTTGATACTTGACCTACAAGTTTTATTTAATTGGCTCTGCTCAACACACCAAAGAAAAGAATCAATTTTTATTGTGAAACCATAGTTAATAGCAGGAAAACAACATTCCATATAAATACTTACTCATAAATGAGTGCAAGCAATGCTGTGTTAACTCTTTAAGGGTAAGCCCATTTGAATTTTGAATTATTTGCCAATCTTACTAGTAAAATTGTTCAAGCTCTGTGGGGTTGCTGCTCCTGGATCATTAGCAAACAGTCTTTCTGCTAGTCCCATCCCAGATTGTTCATTAGCTTTAAGTCTGGACTTTGATTAGACTACTCTGGAACTGTGTACTCGACTGTGTGCTTCAAGTTATTGTTCTGCCGAAAACATAAATCTATGTCAGATCATTGCCAATCTCAGCCGTCTTTTCTCCAGGATTTGCCTGCATTTAGCTACATAAATGATGCCCCCCACCCTGGCAGCCCTCCTTGCTCCTGCCAATATAAAAAATAAGCATAACAAGGTGCTGTCACCTCTAAACCTCATAGTAAGGAAGGTGTTACTCGAAGACATAGGTTTTGTTTCAGCATTGGCAGGGACCATATGAGCCCTGAACCCCCCACCCCAGAAACACACACAGTACTCCACAATATCGGTAGGGGCACGTCCCTACCATCCACACCTAAAATGAGGATTTGGTGTTACCTGAATGACGTTGAGATACATAACACTTTGCACTGAGGTGAGGTAGTGCATAGCCCATTTGCAGAAAATCTTCTACATGCTTTTTTGCTAAATGTTAAATTAGTTCAATTAGTATTAACAATAATTAGTGCAGTCTAAAGTGCTAAAGAAACCAAGCCAAGGCCAGTACAACAGGTCTTTAAATATTCAATTCAATTCAATTCAATTCAGTTTTACTTGTACAGCACATTTTCACAACATTTCATTGTCAGAGCGTGTTACATATTTCAGCTGGCCTCCTTGTACTGTAGCTTCTCCTACCAGTGACCTAACCATACCGCAGTTGGGATGAAGGCTCACCCAAAGCAGATTTCACGTGGTGCAGTGAACCTTTCCACTCAAATGATCAGCTGACTGCTCAAGGGAATTTCTGGTGCCTTGAAAATCTTTGTAGTTCCACCACCTTGATCTGTGAATTACCACGATATTATCATGAGGCTGCTTTGAAACCTCTCTGAAATTCCAAGTTGAACCATTGTTTTAAATGCAATACCTCACAGCTGGACCACACAGAGACAGATGTATTTAATCCAAATCATATAAACCAAATTTACTGAACACAAATGGACATTATTCAGATTAATGCATGAATTCTGAAAGCAGCGGGTAGCACCAGTGTTTATGCAGCACCATCACTGTTGCCAATAATTGACAAATAAAGGACATTCAGATTTTTCATTATAAAAATAATCTTACCTGTTTAAAAAACAGAGTATGTTGTATATATTATGTTAAAATGCATTTAAGAAGAAGACTGTAGCACAACAAAAGATACGTTGATGTAGGAGCTATATAAAAGACACAGAAATATTCATAATAGATACATGGAGAAAAATATAACGGTGAAATGTGTTCTGAAAAATGTAACACATATCCAAAAAATAGCCTAATGTGAAACATTATTACTACAGGATCTTGCTCACGCTTGTTTGCAAGAGTGAAAATGACTTAGAAGGATCATTTTCTGGATGTATCTGTTACGGATGGATGAAATATTTCAAAGCATTACTCGACAGTGGAATGACATTGCTGTGGTTTTTATTATTATTTCACTTTCTCAGAAAAGCCCAATTAATGTTCCATCCATTGTAATTTTTTTAAATGTCTTTTCTCCCTGTGGAATGAGCTTCATATTATATTTCCATGTTCAGTCTCCATTCTGCATAATAAGATTTATTTAAAGTGGAACATATAATAATCTAAATCCGCAATTAATATTTTTATTCCATTTATAAATATACAGATATAGCCCTGGAAATGCAGTTGAGTACTTCAGGTTAACCAGAGCCTCACATCTCCAGCAAGCTGCTGCTTCTGCAGCTCAGTGCTGTAGCTAAATCTGACAAGCTTTATAAAATGTATCCCTATTCCATTTCCTGCTACCCAGTTGATGTAATAATTAATACCTCTGTGATCCACATGCCACTGTGGGTCCCTCACGTTGTTGTGCAGTGGCTGTATGGCAGAAGTGCTTGGTTGTGGACACAGAAGACAGTGTGAGGCAGCAGATGGCTTTTGGTATTAAACTTAATATTAACCGGAAGGCGGGAGGTTCAGATCTCAGAGGGAACCTAACCTGTACTGCTTGTGGAAAAATTGCATCCTTGTTAATGAATCAAAGGCCACACGCAAATACCATATACTGTACATGCTTGTTATGTTTCATTTGGCCAGTCTGATTGGAAAGCTCATTTTATTACAATAAGAACTGACTCTGAGTGCAGCTAAACTAAGATCTATTCGACTCCTACAGGACAGCACAGATAGATTTAAAGACCTGCGGGGCTGAAACACGTAGCTAACGGTTTCTATTACTTTTATTTGTGTCTTTATTCGTTTGTTCATTCATTTATTATCAAAGGTCGCCAATATAACAGAAATGAAAAAACACCGACTACAAAAACGACAAAATCCTGTAGCCGAAAATCATGAGTAATAAATCGCACTATTAAGGTTCGTGTATTAAAACGAACCAATTTTTAACTGGTAATTCAGGAATTACTTTGTTTTAACCTGTAACCATGTATAGATCGGTCGGTAACCCTCTTTTATCGGTGCAAACATGCATCAATCATATCTGATCCAGCCCGGCCCGCAGCATGAGGAGGTGCTGTGATGGGGTGTGCACGGGTACCACGGGTCTGCGTGTTGCCACTGCACCATCAGGCACGGCATTCAAAATAATATCAAAAGATATATTATATACATAATAGCAAGCAAAGCTGCTTGTAAACATGCATTTGCTGTTTTTAACGTTTTACTTTCCGACAGGCGACAATCAATCGATGATGTTAAATAACACTTTTTCGGAGCTAGAACCCCGCCATAAACACACGCACATACACGATTACACGGGCAAGCAAAACAGATATTATTGTGCACTGTATGAGGACAATTTTAGACGTCGCCGGTGCATTTTACATTAACAATAAAATAAAATGTTTAAATGAGAAGGTGAGCAGTATGCATGCCCACCCAGTAAAATGTATACTTATTCTATTGCTTTCTGTTTTGCAATCTATTATTATGCGTTTAGTCGCAACTTAAATCATGACAGTAAATATGGCCGACAAGATATGTGTGTATTATAAAATACGACCATTTGGGTATCCTACCACAACGGTGAAGACAGACATATGTTAAGTCAAATTCAAATGTGTCTCGAAGCATGTTCCATAAGATCCCTCTAGCATGTGCCTGTTCATGTACCTTCAAAATCTATTGCATTGCAGTTATATGTGTGTGTGTTTTTACCATATTAGATCTGGGCACATAACACCCATTTTGCTATATGAACGAATTAATAATGCCTTCACTAGGATTAAAGCAAAACACAATCGTACCCGATTTAAAATATTTAAAGACCTTTTTGGGGTGTCTGATTTTATTTCCGAAGAGAAAGACAATAACCCTCGGTCCTTTCGATTACAGCTTTTCTGCAGCAAATTTATCCCGCTAAAGCCAGGGCACCGATTTTTTTGTTCGGCAAATTAGAAACGTAAATTTACAGGGCAAATCTCAATTGCGAATTTATAATTGCCTACGCTGCATTTTTGGACTGCTGTAGAGACTGTCGCAACCAAGCCATGATCATTTTACTCACCTACAAGAGCTACCAAGCATCCTCACGCAAAACGCCCAGCATTAATTCCCAGAGTCGAAATAATCAGCGATCCATTCAGATCCATCGAATTAAATGGTTGGTCTTAGAGGCATCAACTGTCCACTGCAAGATGCAAAACCTTTATTGCACGTAAACATGAAGGGATGGGAGAAATATGTCCAGTCATTGTAGTCTAGCTGTCGATGCGCCCATGTGCGCTCCGCGGTGTGCCGAGAGTTTCGTAGGGCGCGGGTACCTACCTCCCTTTGACGGGAAGGAGAAAGAGAAGACCGCACACCCGCCTAAAGCACCCTGTCACGGACCTTATAAGTAAAGCATCGTTCACCGAGGTTTATGGTCAGCCTCTTTTCACTTAGCACCATGCAGCAACGCGAGCAGGAGAAATAAGCTGCTAAAAATGTAGAGGTGTGCCAATCGATGTTGTCTGGAACAATTAACGTCGGGTGGGTGTCTATGCTTGTGACTTCTTAAGGACACGGGTAAATGACATTATCAATAAAATATAATATTACGTTCTCGTCTGAATATAAGGAGGCAAATTTCATAAGAATTATTATTTATCCCTATACACAAAGGAAGCTTCCTTTTCGACTTGTCCCTAAAATTATCTGCCGGCATAACTTTGACATATTTACTATAGTGGGGGGGTTCTACCCTTGTCAGTATGCCGGGTGATAACAGGGCAAATACACATACCGTCCATTCATTTAAATAGGAAAACCCTCATCCCAAGTATGACAGCCTTAATCTCCACCCAGCCCTAACCTTCACCGTAAGTAACCAAACAATATACAAGACGTTTGGCGTTATTGGATTTTTGATTGCAGTCACGCATTTTTATACAATTTGAATTTCCCTTTGTGGGGACTGAAAAAATGGTCCCCACAACATCAAAATAAGATTTTTTATCACATTATGGGGACAACACACACACAAAGGTATACTACAGTCAGTTTTGAAATGCCTAACTGCATGTCTTTATACTGTGGGGTTAAAGCAGAGCTTCCAGAGGAAACGCACACAACATAGGAAGGACCTGAAATGTAAGATTCATTTTGTAATATGTATGGCACCAGTCAGAAGTATCTACCTTAATTTCTTTTTTGATAGGACGATGACCAAAAACACACCAGCAGCCTAAGAGCTATGTGACAGAGTAAAAGAGTAATGGACTGCTGCAATAGATGACCTGGTCACCACGATAACCTGACCTAAACCTACAAGAATGATAAGCTGGACCAAAGAGTGAAGAAAAAGCAAAAGTACTCAGCATATGGGCAGACTCTTTCTAGACTGTTAGAAAAGCATCCAACAAGTACTCAGCATATGGGCAAACTCTTTCAAGGCTGTTAGAAAAGCATCCAACAAGTACTCAGCATATGGACAAACACTTTCAAGACTGTTAGAAAAGCATCCAACAAGTACTCAGCATATGGGTAAAATCTTTCAGGACTGTTAGAAAAGCATCCAACAAGTACTCAACATATGGGCAACCTCTTTCAGGACTGTTAGAAAAGCATCCAAGAAGTACTCAGCATATGGACATACTCGTTCAGGACTGTTAGAAAAGCATCCAAGAAGTACTCAGCACATGGGCAACCTCTTTCAGGACTGTTAGAAAGCATCAAACAAGTACTCAGCATATGGGGAAAACTCATTCAGAACTGTTAGAAAAGCATTCAACAAGTACTTCACATATGGGCAACTTCTTTCAGAACTGTTAGAAAAGCATCCAACAAGTACTCAGCATATGGGTAAAATCTTTCTGGACAATTACAGAAGCATCCCAGGTGGATACTTTATGAAACTGGTTGAGAGATGAGTGTACAACACTGTACTGAGGCAAGGCTACTTCAATGAATGTAAACTATGAGATTTTATTTGACATTCAAAATTAATAATATGAAGATATATTGTATCATAAATAATAGCAGCTCCCAAAGGGATACTAAACACAAATGTTTGGTGTTTTATGCTACTGCAAAGGTGTTACTAATTTAAAATCACCCAATGAGGCTGCTTGTCGGTGAACTTTTTACCTCAGATCAGCCCTTTAGAGCTGGAATTTGGGTTTCAGTTTATTGCTTTTCGAAATAAATGTTGTGTTTCGAATGTAATATTCACTCACCTAAAGGATTATTAGGAACACCATACTAATACGGTGTTTGACCCCCTTTCACCTTCAGAACTGCCTTAATTCTATGTGGCATTGATTCAACAAGGTGCTGAAAGTATTCTTTAGAAATGTTGGCCCATATTGATAGGATAGCATCTTGCAGTTGATGGAGATTTGTGGGATGCACATCCAGGGCACGAAGCTCCCGTTCCACCACATCCCAAAGATGCTCTATTGGGTTGAGATCTGGTGACTGTGGGGGCCATTTTAGTACAGTGAACTCATTGTCATGTTCAAGAAACCAATTTGAAATGATTCGAGCTTTGTGACATGGTGCATTATCCTGCTGGAAGTAGCCATCAGAGAATGGGTACATGGTGGTCATAAAGGGATGGACATGGTCAGAAACAATGCTCAGGTAGGCCGTGGCATTTAAACGATGCCCAATTGGCACTAAGGGGCCTAAAGTGTGCCAAGAAAACATCCCCCACACCATTACACCACCACCACCAGCCTGCACAGTGGTAGCAAGGCATAATGGATCCATGTTCTCATTCTGTTTACGCCAAATTCTGACCATTTGAATGTCGAGACTCATCAGACCAGGCAAAATTTTTCCAGTCTTCAACTGTCCAATTTTGGTGAGCTCGTGCAAATTGTAGCCTCTTTTTCCTATTTGTAGTGGAGATGAGTGGTACCCGGTGGGGCCTTCTGCTGTTGTAGCCCATCCGCCTCAAGGTTGTGCATGTTGTGGCTTCACAAATGCTTTGCTGCATACCTCGGTTGTAACGAGTGGTTATTTCAGTCAAAGTTGCTCTTCTATCAGCTTGAATCAGTCGGCCCAATCTCTTCTGACCTCTAGCATCAACAAGGCATTTTCGCCCACAGGACTGCCGCATACTGGATGGTTTTCCCTTTGCACACCATTCTTTGTAAACCCTAGAAATGGTTGTGCGTGAAAATCCCAGTAACTGAGCAGATTGTGAAATACTCAGACCGGCCCGTCTGGCACCAACAACCATGCCACGCTCAAAATTGCTTAAATCACCTTTCTTTCCCATTCTGACATTCAGTTTGGAGTTCAGGAGATTGTCTTGACCAGGACCACACCCCTAAATGCATTGAAGCAACTGCCATGTGATTGGTTGATTAGATAATTGCATTAATGAGAAATTGGACAGGTGTTCCTAATAATCCTTTAGGTGAGTGTATACTTTTTGTGAACAAATGAATGAACATTTTTTTGTTATAAAACCAATAAATTTCCAATACATTATTACTGTATTAAGCAAGTATACCAAGACTTTCTGTGAGCATTGTATTTTACTATGATAGATGTTCCTAAGTCTGTTCCTGAATGTCATGTATGTTGCACATAAAAGAGTCTCTTTTTGTCTCATGTTCGTCCAGTGTCTAGCATGTGTTATATGCCTGAAATTCCATCAGCTATGGTGTGAATAGGAGCTCCCAATTTAAGGGAATTGTGTTGTTTTAGTTCCCTGTTCAGAAGAATGATCAGATTCTGAAGCTGAGCGCCACACGAAGGCGGAAGCTGCTCAGCACTATCAGCACCTTCCTAACAGCCTTCCCTTCACATTCAGCCAAACCCTGATCTCCTTCTTTTGTTAAGCTTGATTTGGCCAATCAAGTAAAATTATTTATGGCAAATCAGTTATATTGAAAGAAGCAGCTGGCTGTTTGGAAAGTATGTCACATCCTGTGATGTGGTGGTTCTTTGCAATTGCTAAGGAGAAAACTCATACCCTTCATAGTAATAGAAATGAATCGTTTTTGATGTTAAACCTTTAGATGTGATATATTTTGGGATTAAACTGATGTGTTTTACCTGTTTTATGTCTATTAATATTCTGTCACACAGTGGCTCAGCTTTCAGCCATACTGCCCGGACACCTCCAAGGTCGATGGGCTTGACCTCTGCTGTCTCTGCATGTTCTTCCAGTGCTCCCATTTCTGCTCTCATTTCTGCTCCCATTTCTGATCCCCATTCTGCTCCCGTTTCTGCTCCCATTTCTATACCCATTTCTGCTGGATACTCTGCTCACCTCCCACAGTCCAGTGATGTGCAGATAGACACATTTGTGTTTTTACGTTGCCTGTAGTGTGTTCCCTTGCCGCATGCCCCATCTCTCCTGGCCCTCTCCATCCTTGTATTGGGTAAGCAATCAGAAATTTGTTGATACGTGTGTGTGTGTGTGTGTGTATGTGTGTGTGTGTGTGTGTTGGTACAATACACATAGTATACATTAGCCATACCATTAAAACTATCTGCCTATTATTGTGTATGTCCCCCTCGTGCCACCTAAACATCTTTGACCCATTGAGTCATGAACTCCACTAGACCTCTGAAGGTGTCCTGCAGCATCTGGCACCAAGACGTTAGCAGCAGAACCTTTACGTCCTGTAAATTGCCAGGTGGAGCCTGGATCGAACTTGTTTGTCTAGCACATCCCATAAATGCTCGATTGGATTGAGGCCACGTCAACACCTTGAACTCTTTCTTGTGTTCCTCAAACCATTCCTGAATAATTTTTTCAGTGTGGCAGGGAGCATTATCCTGCTGAAAGAGGCCACTGTCACTGGGGAACACTGTTGCCATGAAGGGATGTACTTGGTCTGCAACAATGCTTAGGTAGGTGGTACAGTATGTGTGAAAGTAAGAACCACATGAATGCCAGGACCTAAGGTTTCAGAGCAGAACATCGCGCAGAGCATCACACTGCCTCCGCCAGCTTGCCTTCTTCCCATGGTGCATTTTGGTGCCATTTCTTCCCCAAGTAAACAACACACACACACCTGGCTGCCCACATGATGTAACAGAAAACATGATACATCAGAGCAGGTCCAGCTCCATGCTCCGTGGTCCAGCTCTGATGTTCATATGCCCATTGTAGGTGCTTTCGGTGATGACAGGGGTCAGCATGGGCACTCTGACCGGTCTGCAGCTACGTAGCCCCATATGCAGGAAGCTGTTCTGACACCAATCTATCACAGCCAGCATTGACTTTTTCAGCTATTTATGCTACAGTAGCTCTCCTGTGCGATCGGACCAGGCAGGCTAGCCTTCGCTCCCCACAAACATCAGAGAGCCTTGGGCTCCCCTGATCCCATTCCCAGTTCACTGGTTGGCTTTCTTTGGACCACTTTTGATAGGTACTGACCACTGCATACCAAGAACACCCCACAAGACCTGCCATAATGGAGATGCTCTGACCCAGTTGTATAGCTGACACAATTTGGCCCTTGTCAGAGTCACTCAAATCCTTGTGTTTGCTCATTTTCACAACTTCA